TCTGTCTGGCTTCTAAAGCTGGGCCCTTCCCACCTTTCCAGTCTCAATGTAGAGACACAAGCTTCCCACTGTTCCTCAAACAAAACTCCGCCTCCCCATTTCCACTGGCGGATGCCCGGACTGCTCTTGCTCAGCTCATCTCCACCTCCCGGCCTCCTTCAAGTCTCAGCTCCCATCCCCATGGCCAGGAGGCTAGTACTCTCCCCCGGGAGATGACCTCTGCCCTGTCTACGTATTGTCTGTCTGTGGTTGCCTGCATGCCGTCTCCCCCACTACAGTGGGGGCTCCTTGAGGACAGGGGCTGGTTTTGCCCTTCTTTATATGCCCAGCAGTCAGCACAGTCCCCGGTATACAGCGAGTGCTTAGTAAATGTTTTCTGATTGAATGAAATAGCTTGACCTAGGTTATGCAGCAGAGCTTCTGCTGGTCTTCTGCTTGGTCTACACAAGTGAGTTAATCATTCATCCTTCATCCCACTCACAGAAGGATCTTACCTGGTCAGCACTGCCCCCCACGACTCTAACTCAGCAATATATAGCCCACCTGCCTTTGCCCTTAAGGCCCTCCCAGTGTGGCACTGTCCTCTCTTTCTGGCCTTGCCTCCCAATACCAATCTCAGTTCCCTGAACACGCCTTCTGCTGCCACGAAATTCTGTAGGCCTGGGGTGTCACTTCCCCCATCCCTCAAAGTCTTAACACCATCTTTTCAAACCGACCTCTACTTCCACCTTCCCTAGGAAGCCAGCAAAAAGCCCCCAGAGGGCCCTAAGACATCACAGAGCATTTGACACCTTGCTAACTCACTGGGTAACAATGTCTACCATCAAAATCTGTGGCGTTCTATCCCACCGAACTGTTACCTTCTTAAGGGCAGAAACTGTATCTCCACTAAAATCTGTCCTCTTCAGTGCAAACTGCTGATGTTATAAGGAAAAGCTTTCTAAAAACCAGACTCATCCAAAATCGAAATACACCGATTGTCAAGTAGCGCCATCATTGTCAATGTTCGAGCAGAGAATGAGGATGATCTCTGAAACCAGTCAGGAGGTAACTGATTTCTGGTCTGTTAAATCTCTGGCCCCAATCCACGCATCTCCCTCTCACCTCCTCCTTTGTCACTGAAGGCCATTCCAACTTGGGAGGATTCCACGTGCAGGTCAGATAACATATATCACGATATACCTAACCCATTCTTTAATTAGATGCCCGAAATTCAGGGCCATCGGCTAGCTCCTACAGAGTGACCGAGGCGGGAAAGGCAGCACGGCCCCAGTCTTCTGACCACACACAAGAAGCGTTCGGCCAGGTGCCCTGTCCTGGCTCTGATCCTTTGGTGAAGGCAGGAGCTGAGTCTCACGTCAACTCACTAACTGATTTCCCAGGCACCCTGGCAAACAGGTGCCACCTAACAACGAGCCAAACTGAGGCCATCGTCTCCACAACGAACAACTTGATGTGATGCAGTTTAAAGCAGCGTTTTTGTATTCTCAGGGTTTATTCCCAGCTATGGCAGAAAAAGGAATGTCTTTGCAATTTTATTCTTAAAAACCAGACAAAGCAAATCCTCCCAAAGTGACTGCTGAGCTTTGTCTCCATTTTCCACAGAACCTCTGGGTAGCGATTTTGCACTCAGGTTCCTCATTTTGATATTCCTTTATCATCCAAAGACAATGGAAGCGCCAACCATTAAAATCCTCCCCCAAAGGAGGAGCACTTGGACTGTTTTTCCCTCTATTATCATCATTCAAAAGACCATAGAGGAACCTTAAAAAAAAACAAACCATCACAGCCTCTTATTTCACAAATGAGAAAACTGAGCAAAGAAAAGCCACCAAGAAAGCAAGGGATGACATCACACCCGGCTCGGCTCCTCCTCTCCAGGACCACCTGGCCAGGCACCCAATAACAGAAGCCTTCCTCCAGTGGGGCATACAAGCCTGCTCCCACTTGCAGCCCCCGGAAATCCTCCTTTGGCCCAAGCCTATACCACCTCAATTAAGTCGTGATTTGCTGTGAGCTATTCACAAATTCCCAAGCTGATGAAAACATTTTCAAATGCTTTCTAATCCAGTTACATTCTCTGTTCCTAAGGGACCTCTACTGAATTTAAACATCTTCAAATGAATTATTATCATAATTATCAGTTCCATTTCTAAGGCAAGTTTCCCACATGCTGCCCTCTGAGGGAGACAGAATAAGTCTACTGATCCCACCCCCATGCTCCATCTCCTTGGCAGATGAGGAGGACCTGGGGTCAGCCCAAGTCTGGGCTCTGCCTGGGCAGGGAAACGGCAGTCAGAATTCAAACCCAAGTCTTTCCTAAGCCCTTGTCCAGAGGTATCCACCTGCTAGGGCTGCTGTGAGTAAGGGCTAATGAGGAATGGACCAAGAGGGCTCTGAGTGAATCTCCCCGCGCTCTGAAAACATCGCTCGTCATTCTCAGCACATCTGCGGCCAAAGCTCTGACTCTGGCACACGGCTTTCAAAAAGTATCACGCCACTTTTTAATCTGGTTTTAACTTCAGCCACATGGTATAAATGTGTAAAACAGTCAAAATGAGAGAGATCCATTTACATACAAGAGATGGACATGCACGAGTTGTCAGAGTCGTCAGAGGAGCCATCAATGACGCTCCACTCTTCCCGGACTGGAATGAGAAATCAAGCTCTTTTAAAAAGCAAAGAAAAACTGGACGGGAACTAACAAGAAGCTACTTCGGGTTTAATAAATTAAGTCAAACCAAGAATTTGAAGTTTTTACATTAAAAGCTGGAGCATTTTTAAAATTAGTCAACATTTATACAGCGCTTTAAGTTTACAAAGCACTTCCGCATTCTTGACCAGAATGCACCTGACTGGCACGCTGGCAGAAAATGCCACTGAGTGCATCGCGAAATTCAAACCAATGGCTACATGGTAAAAGCATTTAAAATGCACCCCCCGAGCTTACAAACAGACCAGGACCCAAGCAGCAAAGGACAGCTGAAAGAGACCTGAATATACACCCTAGCCCTCACCTCTATTTTCCAGATCCAGAGAGAAGCAAGGGGTTTACAAAGCCCCTTCCTCACAATAAATGGTGCCGAGGAGTAATGGACAGAGGGCTAAGATCAGCGTCAAGAAACTGGGCTGAGTCCCACCTTTGACGCTCCTTAGGGCTGGGATGGTGGGCGAGTCATTTCGCTTTATACGCCCGAGGGGACTGCCACACACTGACGAACTCACAGATCCCGGTGCCATGGGCTTCCATGATTTCTCACAATAATCCCACGACAGAGACAGCACAAGAACGATCGTCCAGATTTGATAACGTGGAGACAGGACTCGGGACCAAAGTGACTGAGCGGCTCCCACACCTGCAGCCTGGATGGGCAGCCCCCTCCCCCAGGCCTCTTTCCCAAAGGCTGCACGGTCTTCAGGTTACTGGGTGCTGACCGATCCATAGTCTGATTAAAATTATACTCTGAGGGGTCCACTGGGCACGCAATGGGGCATTCTGGTGAAGATGGCAGCAACAAAAACCCCATCAAAAAGAGGCTTCCAGATGCAGGAAAGAAAACCCCAACAAGGCCTTCAAATCAAACCTTGGGCCCCTCAACATCAGCAGAGAGGGACAGGTCCTGGCATCACCGAGCCAGGCCGGGGAGGGGACTGGTATAACCCCCAGGGGCACAAACTGGGTGGACCTGCTTGAAGAGGATCAAGTTCATTTAAAACTGATCCTCTCCTCTCTCTGAACCTTTGACGCTACACATGGTGCACGTGTAAAAAGCAGGCTGTGGGCGATCCGGTAAGACACATGATGACAGCAGGACCAGGACCCAGCCTGACAGCATCCCAGAGCAGCTCCTGGGGGATGGCCACGCGGTGCCAGTCTATACAGAACACGTGCGAGGTCAGAGGGCTTGGGGGAAGGGGGAGCAGCAGCAAAGTCATTGGGGACAAGGTGTCAGGCAGGCAGACTTCTGAATACACCAAACAGAAATTTCTCCTAACCCTCTGACTCATCTAAAGGCCACCCTTGGTCTTCCTGGAGCACTGGCTGGCTGACTGGCTGTCTCCATCTGATCTTCAGGATGACAAAGCCCTTCTTGTCTACACTTTCCAAGGGGGTGCAGGAGTGGCCTGAGGGCTTAGGTCCTTCTTGGCTAGCTCAGGAAAGCAAGCCACGGGGGCCATCTGGAGGCTGAGGAATATTCCGACATACAAACGCAGAGGTTATTCTCCTTCCTTTCCCCCGCTGCCATCTCTGACCTCCTGGCAGGAAATGCTCCATTAGTGAAGAAGCAGGCAGGAGTGGGGCAAGGAGGCAATTCAATCCAAAAATCCACTAAATGGGAAGAAACAGCTAGCCAGTCACTAGGCCCTATCTGGACGGCACACGAGCTGACCAAAACGTTGCCTGGTTTTTAACAAGCTCAGATGGCAGCATGGAGAAACAAGCATTTTCCAGTTCTTCCAACTCACTTGTTCAATGCTGGTTTAAAAATCGGTGCGCTTCACTAAAGAGCTGGAAGGCGGGTTATCGCATTAACTGCTACCTGTCCAAGGCCTCCACCAGTTCTCCTCTGTAATTGAACTTTATCAAAATGAGGAAACGAGGGAGAAGTCCAACTCTCGACTGTCTACATTTTAAGAAGCAAACCCGAGGCCACTCTCAACTGGGACCCTGGGACACAGAGTTACCCCAAAGGTTTTATTTGGGCAGGCTTTTTTTTTTTTTTTTGAGGTGGGTGGGGACAGGACAGAAAAGACATTTATAACCTGATGGACTTGAATGTTTTCTTTTAATTGAAGAAAGAAGGGGGCAGCTAGGTGGCCCAGTGGATAGAGCACCGGCCCTGGAGTCAGGAGGCCCTGAGTTCAAATCTGGCCTCAGACGCTTGACACTTACTAGCTGTGTGACTCTGGGCAAGTCACTTAGCCCCAACTGCCTCACTTAAAAAAAAAAAAAAAAAGAACGAAAGAAAAAAAAAAAGAAAGAAAGAAGCACCACATACCTGCTGAGTGTTTCTTTGGGACTGTGCACTGGACTGCAGCCTCCGCAACAAGGGCACGCCGTTCCTAGACAGCCTTTTTAGTAACCAGTAACTGTGAGCTCTCTCAACAAACTGCTTCTTCCGCTGAACGGCCACCTGAGTCAGAATCTTATTTAATCTAAAATATGGAAAAACTCAAAGTTTAATTTTTGAAGCAACACATTAAAGAGAGGCTTTTGATTATGGAAATTAGGAAAAATTTCATGGACAGGTAAGGCTACATCCCCCCATCATAACTCCCACACTTATATATATCGCTTGACCTTGTGAAACCATGAATTGAATTCATAATTTACCTAAAAATCTGCCCAATTAAACCATCTAAAATTTTTAAATGATTTTAAGAAAGTCATGTTAAAACCTAAGCAAGCCCCCAACATCTTTTTCCATCTTTTTCACTATCTTCTTTGAACAAGTTAACCTTGACCAAATATAAAATAACACCTTTTGTGCTAAACAATTATTTTAAATTCTGTACACTCACATTAACAAAAGAAACAAGTCACTTAAGTTATTAAAAAATGTAGCTTTTAAAAAAGTACTTGTTAAGTCCATCAAGTATTCTGAAATAACTGGTTTTTCTTCAAACAACAAAAATGGTTAAATACGTTCAAAACTCATGAAACGAGCCTTTCAAAAAAAAAAATCTCAAAACTGACTTGCAGAAAAAGTAAAAGCCTTGTAATTAAACCTTGAAATAGGAGACAAGAGTCCTACGTCTCCTCGGGTCCTCAGGTTGACGGTATCCCAGACGCTGAACTGTCGAGTATTTATTCTGCATGTTTGGTTCATCTGAGCTCAGCCAAGTACTAAGTAACTACTTTGTAAAGTATGCAGAAACCACGCAGTTTTCGTTTTCTCTTTCTTCCCCACAGAAAGTGAAACACTTCAGAGACGGAGCTGGAGAGTGTGAGGCTCTGAACAGCATATCCACGTGCACACAGCCATGCAAGGGACCAAAAGCACAATCAGATTCTACCTTTCTCTGCCCCACAGATCACTGCAGAATATATAATCACCGTGCTGTTCCATACAACTTATTTCTGTTTCCCCAAACAGATAACGCTGATTTACAATTTACTTTCCAAAGATCCACCCCTTCCCTAAATCACTGCCAAATCAAAGTATTCCCAGTAGGGAGTACACTGCAGAAGGGGCCTAAAGCCAGAGGACCTAGGTTCAAATTCCATATCCTGGCTGCGTGACCCTGAACAAGACATCTAACTTCTAAGCGCTCTCAAACAACTCCCTAGGACTCATCACACTGCAGAGAAGATGCCGAGCTACACTGGAGGGAACTGGCTTACCTGGGAGCTCCCCATATCCATAACATCACACAGGTCCAGACCCTCACCCTAAACAGGTAGCTGAAAAATTCTGACACAGCAAAGAAATACCTCAAGAAGCGAGTGTGGCTGAGTCAGACTGCCCAAAGAAGGACTGCCCAAGTGGATCCCAGAGGCCTGCCGATGGAGGCACTGTGCCCTCTACTTTACTGCCATTCCACTGTGCTTAGGGAAGGGCCAAGAACATCAAGAGCGGTTTCCTCAAAGGCAGGAGATATTTCAGTGTGATCATAGTTGACTTCCTCGTTGTAAAAAGTGAAGTCTTTTTAAAGCTTAGTGATCACAAGCTTTTCCTAACGAAAGCCAAACTTTCCTCGCTATCCCCCTACTCCTGATTAAATGCTCAAATGTCATATTTCAAAGGGTCAGAGGAAAGACGGAAAAGCAGAAGTGAGAATTATAAATATTTCAGTTCAGAAACTTAAAGCAGCTTCTAAATCATTCATGGGAAACAAAAGACAATCAGAACAAAGAAACAAATAAAAATGATTCATCACTCTGAAACCTTTCGAAAACACACAGTTCTATAAAAATCCAACCCATGTTCAAAGAAGGTGCAGGCCCAGGTCGCTCATAGCTCCTCCCTCGTGGTCAGGCTTCCTGCACAAGGTAGAGAGAGCAGGGTGACAGGGTAACAGAATCCAAAACCCTTACGGTTCTGGTGCTTTCTGGTGACGTGAGCACGGAGAAGCAAGTCACTTCACTTTGGAGCCTCAGTATCCTCATCTGTAAAATGGGGCTAAGTTTTGCACAGGGTTCCTGAAAGGTGAGCACTCTATAAATCTTCAGGCTTCTATAAAAGTGGCTGCGGGGTTAATTATTATAGTCTAATTGCATGTTAACTCATACATTAGTCAACAGTATTAGATGGACTTGGGCCTCCCCTATGGAAGGCCAGGGAAACGCAAACACGTGTGGCAATTCACTCTCCCTTCGATAACTGGAATTCTAAGAACAAACTTTGGCAACTCAAGTCCAAAGCCAAGTGCAAATCTTCACCCCAGCATTTATCAAGCCCTTACTGGGTAGCATGAATCCATTCATGTGCACACAGTGTTCTCCCTTCCTCCCACAGAAAGTGAGTTAACGTTGATTTCTGCCCCAGCTCCACTTCAGAATTCTCTCAACACCTGAACATCCACCACTGCTCTCTTCTCTGCCCAAACACACATGACCCTCACACTTAAAAACGTTGGGATGAAAAGGCTAAGACAGACAGCCCTGGCTCCCTAGGGGAGCCTGCTAGGACAGACTGCTGGCTGATCTCTCCAAGGCACGTGCAAATAGGCCAGACCGACGCAGCAGAAGCCACTCGCCTCCTGGACAGAAAGCCATCTGCATTATCAATTTCATTAAGTTAAGAAATTTAGAGAATGGGGACACTTATACTTAGCCAATTACACTAGCTGGAATTCGCTGTCTGCACATTCGCTGTTCAAATTTCTTTAGTATCTATTACGTAACTATGATTTCTGATTTCACCACAAGCATTTATCACAACCCATAAGGCAGATAGATGAAAAATAAGGCCAAGAGCCAGGAGCTGCCGCTATTAGCTAGAGTCCTTAGCTAACACAGATTCCATCTGTATGCGTCTTAACCAAAGTCACCAAGCTTTGTGTGTGGTATGTCGATTCCGCACTCCCGGGGCTCCGATCCAACCTAGACCCTGTACTCCCATAACCCTCTCTGGCCTCACAGCATTCCACATCACTAGCTCCTAACCCTCCCTGCCAGAGGAACAGCTCTGACCAGCTCACCCCCTCACCTGAGATAGTCAGTGATTCCCCAACTGCCAATGAAATAATATGCCAAGTCCTTAGCCTTTGAGCAGTCTTCCTCCAAAAAAGTCTCTGAGGCCCACCACAATCTGGCCAAGCTCACCCACCTTTCCAGACAACCAGGATCGTTATCAGGTATTCCACTAGGTCTTCCCAGGACATCCCACCTCCATACACAGACAGGCCTTCACTGACACCCAGAAGGTACACCTGCCACACCTCTGGGGGGAAAACATTGGTCTCCACCTCCACGGCCAAGTTCCATCTCCTCCCTGAATCCTCCTTGATGCCTTCAGCTCAAAATGGCCTCTTCTCATATTTTCCAGGAGTATACAAACGAGTAGGTAATTTTGTTACTACCATGCTAAATTTAACACTTCGTTCAATATGACATCCCAAGTTTCACATACACTGCTCTTTTGTGTTCTCTTGTATGCTGGAATGTTCATATTTGTTGATGTTTAAGGTCATGATAAAATACTTTTTTAAAAAACTTGCCACAAAAAAAGGTGTACCAGATGGCCTTGAAATGAGGAGAGACATCTCTCCAAAACCTCCACCACTCGCTTCCCTCATCTGTAAGATGTGGCTACAAAGACTATGCACTCCTCTCCTGCAGGGCTACTGTGTGAGGCTCAAGTAAGATCATGTTTGCAAAATGTAACAGATCAACGTCAGCCATGACCTTGGAGAGGCTAATTCAGGCGGTCAAACCCTCCTCTCTCTCCAGTACTTGGGCGTGGCTCCTCGTCCTATTCACATTCTAACTACTGGAGGCTTTCATGTTTCCATCCAGATCCCCAGTAGAGAGAGGCGCTCAATAGGGTCAGCCAGCCAAGTGAACTGCTGTATCTATTCGTAAATGAGGACTGCAGAACCATTCAGATCAACGAGCAGTAAAAACCCTGCTCCCAGGGAGCACCTGCTGTTTCCTGAGCTTCACAAATTCCATCTAGCACCAACAGAAGACAACCTGAGGGGAGGAACGGAGTCAGAAGAGAGGAAGGGAGATCAGCACATGCAGCCCAGGAGGAATGAACTCCCCAACCAGTCAAGCTGCTTTGGCCAACACATCTGCATCTCCACAGGAAAGCCCAAAGAGCAGGCTGCTCAGCAGACACTAACTCAACACTTGTTCACTAGTCATTTCGTCTGATGCCAGTCTGCATACCAAGTACTCACAGAAATAGCTAAGTCCCATTACACTCCTAGGGAGGTTACTGATGGGGGGATCTTGGCTTCTCCTGGCTATTCGGCCTGAGCAAGTCATTTAAAGTTACATCCACAATGGGGATAACTGGAGAGACTGCCCACCTCACAGACTTGTGGGGTAGCTGTATACAAAGCATGTTATGCACCTCAAAATGCTATCTATATAAATTTCACTATCACTACCATTCTTTGCAGCACTATTATCTGTAATAACAAAAAACTGCAAAAACCCAAGAGCGAGGAGCGGCTGCACCTCCTCTTTTATGAATGGGCTCCGCTCTCCCTTCTCAGCTCATCTCTGCCTCCCCTTCCTTCGGGTCCCAGCCAAAAGGCCCACAGCCTTTCCCAATCACCCTCCTGCTAGCGCCTTGCCTCTGGCCTCGATCGTCTTCGTACACAGGTGTCTGCCTATTGTCTCCCCCATTAGACTGGAGCTTCCAGAGGGCAGGGGCTGTTTTCTGCCTTTCTTTAGAGCCTCAGTACTTCACACAACGGCTAACACACAGCAGGTGTTTAACAAATGCTTGCTGACTTAACTTGAAAGTAATGACAGATATGAAGGAATACGGAGAGACAATGTTTCGAAGACAAAAAAATGATATACACACTTACAGTTACATAAATAATAATGGAAACAAAATCTAGAAAAATACAGCTGAGTCTCAATTAGTGTGGATGATGAGGCCCCTGAAGTAGTCACATATATTCCAATTCCCAATCAGAATTCAAAGTTATAATTACATAAAACACGGACATAATTAGTTGCAGCCCAAAGGAAA